GTTCTTATTTTACCCACCTCGGAAGGATGGAAGGCTGAGTCAACCCTGAGCCGGTGAGATTTGAACAGCCGAACTGCTGAACTGCAGTCAGCTGAAGTAGCCTGCAGTGGTGCATTTAACCACTGCGCCACCTCGGCTCTAGAGAATCAAATCAATCCTTGGAGAATAAGGGCTTTTTAAAAATCTTTTGTTCCTCCTCCAGGAATTATCTGTCTTTTTCCATTTTGCCCCCAAAGTTATTGTCTGTGTCATTTCTCTACTTCCAATATAAAAACAGCTCCAGAGAATAGGACAGGCAGTCCAGTTCAAGATTGCAGCAGAAACCTATTATTATTGCAGCTTATTTTTAAAAGAATTTATGTATACGATCCCTACATCTATTTAGCGTGATCTATCTAATGAGATCCTGTCGTCATAATGTGACTGAATCCTGGGCTTTCATTCTCCTCCTTACCCCTGGTTCCTTGAATGTCTGAATAGATTCCTGGATGAAGTTCAGTCCTATTCTGGAGTCAACAAAATGAGCGTGCAAAATCTTGCAACAGTGTTTGGCCCCAACATCCTCCGTCCCAAAGTAGAAGATCCTCTGACAATCATGGAAGGTAAGTAGATGAGGATGAAAACGATAATGCAAATTGTCCAAATTCCATGAATTGTTTTAAAAGATAAAGATACAGCATGGGTAGAATGTTCTTTTCTCATACTTAGTTACCGTATTTTTCGGAGTATAAGACGCACCTTTTTCCTTCAAAAAAAGAGGCTGAAAATCTGGGTGTGTCTTATACACTGAATACATTATTCTTGTCTGGACTATTTCACAGAGTAGTTCACATAGATCAGGGGCGTCAAAGTGGACGCCTATGGGTTGGATGCGTCGCACGGAGGCCACGCCCACCCCAGCTCCGCGAAGGGGGGAAATGTCACGAAACATCACATGACGGCAACGTGACGAAGCAAGTTTGACCGCTGTGACATAGATATTCTCATTTGCCAAGTGCTACTTAAATAATCGAAACAGTAATTATATATAACAACAAAAGCAATTAAAATACGATCCTCTCCCCCCATTTCTTTACAATTATGGAATTCAGGGCCATACGATGAAAACCAGATCTTATGGATAACGGGAGGGATAAAATTATTCTCTCTCTCTTGCTCTCCCTCCCTCCCTCCCCCCTCTCTCTCCCTCTCTCTCTCCCTCCCTCTCTCTCTCCCTCTCTCCCTCCCCCCTCCTCTCTCTCGTACTGTTACATAACCATTTCCAGATCAAAGGATCTATGTTTCCAGCTGGGACACCATTGGAAAAACTAGATCTGGTTTGGCTCTGCATATCCTGCACATTATTAGCAATTTAGAATATTGGGGGAAATGTTTTACATTTCAGTGGTTTGACAATACCAGTATTAATGAGTTTGCCCATTGCTTTATGCTGCTGGAATGATAAATAAATAAACATACCGGTGAATATAAATACATGAGGGACTCGGGGATGGATTTTTGTTTGGAAGAATTGTGAACTCAATTGAGTTCTGGTCGACTACCTAATTTGGTAGTCTTAGAATTAATTTTAAATATGTATGTAAGAACATGTGCATGAAAATTATTTGTACAGTGGAACCAATGCTGGAGGGACGTGTTGGACTCTGCTTTATTAGAAGAGTTGAAGCAGACACATTTGAGAGGAGTGTAAATTCCTGCACCAAGCAATTGGTTGGATACAATACAATACAATACAATACAATACAATACAATACAATACAATACAATANGGCAAGCCACTCCCACAAAGGAGGCCACACCCACAGAGTAGGTTCGAATTTTTTTTTAAACCCACCACTGGTAGAAGGGAATCACGACAAACACCCAAGACTCTTATTGGATGAGCACGTGGTTGGAAGATTAGAAAACCATTTTTGTGTTGGGACAATAACATTTGCATTGGTTCTTTTACATGTTATTGGCGCTCTGCTTTCGGAAGGAAGGGGTATATAAAAACGAGGGAGATCATTTTTGAGGGAGATGTGCAGTTCGGAAATGTGAAAAAAATAATTAATTAAATAAAGACATTTAAGGATTTATAAGAATGGTAATAATGCTTTGTCCTTAGATTTATAACTGAAACTTAGTTGAGATGTATGTTCCATTGATTTCAGTGATGTGCATTAGGTGGACATTAGACTAAGTCATAGATCTGGGTTCATGTATTGTGCTAAATCATGATTTCCTGAATAAGCCACAATGATCTGGGATCATGCAACATAGTGAACCATACAGTAAATCATGCTATATATACTTCGGTGGCTTGATTCATACAACTGGCTCAGCCAAAATCGAAGCAAAATCATTTAGTGCTTTGTATGACCTCTTATTATAGCAAGCTCACTGGAATTAATTGAACCGATACAAGTCCTTAATGGTTTTAATAAATCCATTTTATGTCTGGATACATCTGGATTCAATACCCATATGAACAAATATCAAGAAAATATGAATAGGAGGCTAAGAATGTAGGTAGAAGTGGGTGAAGAACAGTAGTTACTCTTCCTGGAGTCTAGCCAAAACTTTCTGATGCTCTTCTAGTTTTTATCTTTGCTTTCTTTTCACTTTATATTCCATTTCTTTCTCCCCCTCCCCCAAATTCAAGCAAGGAAATTTTCTGTGGACTATAGTAGACAAAATATAATCAGTTGCACCAATGGGTATATGAAAAATAAGAGCAAATAGCAATAGCAGTTAGATTTATATACCGCTTCATAGAGCTTTCAGCCCTCTCTAAGCAGTTTACAGAGTCAGCATATTGCCCCCAACAACAATCCAGGTTCTTATTTTACCCACCTCGGA